CTGCGATCTGAGAAGATACTTCTCCAATATGGGTGGCAGAACACGATGCTCCAGCTTCAGGAAATGCCATCCTGTTTCTGAGAACTTAGGTTCCAACAGAAACAGAGCGGAAGACCTTTCAAATTCTTATTTAAGTATGTGAGATGCAGTTTATTTTTTTCTGTATTTGAGAGGATTATGTTAACATCCTTGAATTCTCAGCTACAGTTTTTTTTATCCCATCTGGGACCCTGTAAATTCTAGATGCTAGCTTTTATGGTCACTTTTAATGGTATGTGCCGTCTAAGACTGTTTTATTTCTTCAGTGGCTTTCTTAGAGTACTGAAGACTCTCTGGAACCATTTTCCCTGTATCACTGTGCTTCTTAACCAGGGACAGTAAACGCCAGCATCCTCGGGGGAGTTTTTCCAGATGACACAGGCCTGTTCCCCCACCCTGGAACTGCTCAGCTGGAATCACTAGGAGTGGGGCTCCTCCATGGGTATTTTAAAAGCTCCCCAGACCAAAGAGATACATATGTACTGCTCAATGATAACCACCACTTGACTGAAACCCTATTGGCGTGTACGCGTGCGCATGCGTTTGTGTGTGTGTGTGTGTGTGTGTGTGTGTGTGTGAGAGAGAGAGAAAGAAAGACTGACTGCAGGACCCTCCAAAACCTAATTTGGATCATGACTGAGCCAGTCAGGGTCATTGGAAAAAACTTACCTGTTCTCACTTCCTTAAGGGAGACATATGGGTGGGGCAGCAAGGAAGGAAAGGAAAAGGGGGGAAAGGGAAGAATATAAAAGATATGGTGGGGATCCAGCAGACTATAATTGGTAATTAAACTTGTAAATGTATTTTTCATTCCCAATGTGGTCCACTTCATTGTTTTCCTTCCCTTTTTAAGGTATTTGCTAAACAAATGTTCATTGTGAACTAATGATAATTTTAGAAAATGGCCCTTTATGATCCAGAACCTGTTTCATTCAAGGAGGCATTTTTAGAATAAGTTAGTTGAAAGAGAATCGGACCTAGACAGAAATTTGAAATTGTATGCACAGGGACCTGCTTGAGCATTTTCAGAAATTCTGTCTCCATTCTCCTGAGCTCAAAATGAGAAACAATACTGCCTCTTCCAACCCATCACAGTGGAAACATTTAGAGGCATGAAAACTTGTTTTTTCTTTTCCCTCGTTTTCAAAATCCCTGACTTGACTTGTTTATCCCTGGACACTGCCGAAGGCCAAAGACAATCTCTCATGGGACTTCTCCGAAAGGAGTGAGTTCAGACCCAATGTCATGTGGCATTGACCCTGGACCAGCTGCTTTTCTTAGGTATTAAACCCACAATGTCTAATTTGCACACAAAAGAGTTCACCTCACTGTGGTCAATGGTGTTGAAAAGTGGACACCAAACTAGCACCTGGATCAGTCCCTCACTCAAAGCAGACCTCCAGGGGCACCTGGGTGGTTCAGTTGGGTAAGTGTCTGCCTTCGGCTCAGGTCATGATCCCAGGGTCCTGGGATCGAGTCCCGCTGCGGGCTCCCTGCTCAGCGGGGAGTCTGCTTCTCCCTCTCCGTCTGCTGCTCCCCCTCCTTATGCTCTCTCTTTTTCTCTTTCTCTCTTCCCTCTCAAATGAATAAATAAAATCTTAAAAAAAAAAAAAGCAGACCTCTAATAATTAGTGATTAAAGGGCTAAATAACCATGTGACACATCCATAAAATGGGGAGGAAGCTAGCATTAATGAGTACGTCAGTTCCTGTTTGTTATAAGGGAGTTAGGTACAGTAGGATTTAATTTTGTTACAAACACAACAGAAAACAGCCTGTCAATGTGTCTGTATGTGGGTGGATCTCCTTGCTCCATTTTTGCTGCCCTATCCCCCGCTCATCACATGGCAGCCAGAATGAGCGTTTTGAAGGAGATGAGTCCGACTGTGCCCCTCCACTGATTAAAGCCCTTGGTTGGCTTTCCATTTCTCGTAGATACCAGGGAAGCTTGTGCCCTTGGAGCTGCCATGGGCTGGCTCTTGGCCACCCCTCCCCCCTTTCCTCCTGCCGCCCTTCCCTGCTTTACCTCTCGCTTCCTTTCAGTTCCTACAGCATGTAAGCTCACTCTGTTCTTGAATGAGTTGCTTGACCTGCCTAGAGTGGTCCTCCCCGACACCTGCCCATGGCTAATCCTCTTCAGCCAGGTCTCCGCTCCGGTGGCGACCTCAGCCTGTCTTACTTTCTTCATAGTCCTTGACTATTTGAAATCACTGGTTGACTTGTTTATTGCAGATCTTCACCCAGAGAAGCACCTTGTCTGTCTTGTTGGTCAGACCGCTCTGGCCCCTCATCGCCAATGATCGAGGGACAATAATAAAAGAGGAAAAGCATGGAAGAATATACCCCCAAAATGTTAATAGTAATGATCACTAGGCAGAGGATTTGAAGTAACTTTAATTGATTGCTTTTCCTTTTTGTTCATGTGTATTTCCTAATTTTTTTGTTGCCATCATATATTATGTATGTAATTCACATGCTTAGCCAGGCTTAAGGAAGTGGCTTTAAAGCTTCTAAGCAATTGTAGAGGGAAGGCATTATCTGCACGCTCCATGCTGAGCAGAGGGTGCTGACTCAATGTTTGCTGAGTCCTTATTCTAAGGGAAGGTATTTCCCCAAAGTTCTCTAGGTAGTTGCCCACCTCAGTCCTCGTGTGGGAGGAAAGTAGGTGTGACATGCACCAAGGTACAGATGTGGAGAGCTGTGTCTCCCAGATTTCTGACCTTCATCCACACTGGTGTACTTTTCTCTGACAATCACAGGGTTATTTTGCTCCAGGGAAAATCCATTATAAACAGCAACACATGGGGCACTGGGGTGTGATGTGCTTCGGTACACACTGCCTTTTTTTTTTTTTGTCCCCAAAGAGAATGCAGAGCCGTTAGCTCCACATGTAACAGTGAGTGAACGGTCTGCCGGCCCTTCTTCCAGAAAAAGAATCGACAATATAGTTTATCCTTTCAGAGTGATCTGACTTGAGCAATGCCTTGGCCAATAGCAACTCTTTGTACTAATAGCTTTATATATTAGAAATTTAACAGGTATAGTAATTATGTCTTAAAACAGGAGACTCATTTGTTGTGTGTGTGTGTGTGTGTGTGTGTGTGTGTTTCCAGTTAGTTCGAGTCTGACCTGATGAATTGCATGTCATTTCAGTGTTAGAGAGCACTTCTTTGGGCTAGTAAGTTCTTGAATGGTCTGGTTTCTCAATAAAGGCAGATTTTCCCTAGCTATGACACTGGGCGGTTAAGGTTTTACCCCATTTGTGAAGTCTGTCACCTGTGTTTTAACTTGAATGCTACTTTCTGGAAATCTGTGCAAATTTGAAGGAGAGAGGAATCCAAGATTAGAAAACTTGATGACTGATTTAGAAACAGAAAGAAGCTACTCCCTCAGACAAGCAAATCATGTGTGTGTGTTTTTTCACATGGATTTCCATCATTTTCACATTTAGTAGAAGATCTGGTTATTACCAGAGCCCTAAAACATTTTGTGCATTTCATATCCATGTAGCTTAAGTCAGACTGACTGACGTTCTTTCCAAATTTAGGTAAAGGCAGCTAACGATGAGTGATGAAAACTTGTTTCATTATTTATATTACCAATGCCAGGCAATTCGTAGGGGGAAAAAATCATTTTCAGCCCTCTGCAAGAGCAGTCCTGCAAGACGTGTGCCGAGTAGGAGTGACTTATGTTCAGAACCCCCTAATGGCATGGAGCAGCAGTCCAGATTGCTTCTAGAACAGTGCCCAAATGTACAATCGGCTAGAGCTGCTTCCCGTCTGGAAACAGGCACGGCTTAAAGAAAAATGCCGTGCCCAGCGGAATCATCCCAGAATACTTTGGATTCAAAGAGCAAAGACAACTCTGAAGAAAAGTTGACTTACTCTAGTGGTTGGAATGCAGCCCCCAGGAACAGTAAACCTGCAGTGTGTGTAGTCGGGGCTTGGTGTGAGGCGCCAGAGGAGCGGGCTGGATCCCAGGGACACCGAGCACCAGAAGGATGCCGCCTGCTTGGCTAACAGCCCCAGCAGTAGGGCCAGCTATTGTGAAGCCCCTCTGCCAGATGAACAGGGACCCTTCTCTGGTCACAATAGCCATTCACGCTGAGCAGCCTCATTAAATATTCAGCCTGTGCTTCCGGCAGCTCATTAGGGCTGCAATGAGCAGTGACGTGGATGCTGGAAAGCCGAGGGCCGGCCAGCATCAGTAGGCAGAGGCTGAGTGAGCTGCTGATGGCTTTTCTGTGAACTGCCTGTCCTATGATGACCAGTGTTTGCTCCCTGCTTTGCCTGAAGTCCAGGTAAAATAATACAGACAACAGGCAGGGGACACCCGCGAGCTCTAGGTTCTTACCTCTGATGTGGTCTGGCCAGGGCCTTGGATTTTGAGGGCTTGCCCCCTTCAAGCCCTCTGACCCTCTCGGAGAGCTGTCTGTGGCTTCGGGGGCCTTTGCTGAGCACTAACAATGTGGTGCTATTGTGTACTTGGGGCTCTTTGATGACTGCTTTTGGGAGGGTTAGAGGTGTGGTTTTGAACTTGGTGCTGGAGGTTTAGAAGACCAAATTACTCTTCTGTAACAGGTCAAATTTAGAAATATTGTGTGTGTGGTGGGGGGGGGGGTGTGCTCATCCTAACGGTTTGTGCATCAAGTTTTGCTCCGTTGATGCCAAGTGTTGGTGGATTTGCGCAGTTCACTAGTAAGCTTTTCCCTGTTGACTATCAGGAGAGATATGGTACAATAAAAAACAAAAATAAATATTCTTCAGCTCTTGGGGATTCTTCCAATAGATGGAATGTTGTCCTTCTTAAATCTTGTTACTTTTCCATAGGCTTGCACTCAGTGCTGTGTGGTATTTAAAGCTGGTAAAATCTGTGAAGGCAGAATTGAAAAAAAAAAAAAAATGACCTCAAAATGTATTTCTCTGGTCTCACTGTTTGCATGTTTTTCTCTTTCCTACACAGAAAATGTTTTCAGACAGCTCATTTCTATGTGGAAGATAGCAGTTCACCTCGGGTGGTCCCCAATGAAAGTATCCCTATTATTCCTATTCCGGGTAAGTAAGACAAACTCTTCTTTCCAATGGGCTAATTGTTTTTCTCTTTTGTTTGTACTTTTATGTGACAGCCATGACAAAATACTATTTTCCTAGCCTTTGAAAGCTTGCCCTAAGAGATCCTTCACTGAGGGGGATTTAATGAAATCTTTGCTCCTTTACATATCTGCAATGTGATAAAGTCCTCTTCAAGAGGAACAAATAGCTATGAGTTTATACAGGATAGACTCACATGCAGGGAGGGGAGGTAACAGTAGACAAAAGGGAAAGCATAGATATTTGCAATCCACTTGGACCAGGTTTCATTTTGATAGGCAACTTGCGCTTACATTTTTTTTTTTAATCACAATTTGTGATATGGTTTTCTCCTAAGATTCCTTCCTCTGCAGATACTTTATCTTAGCGTTGGAAGTTTTGCTTCTTAGGATTTTGTGGGCAAGTCTGGGGATACACTCTTGGTCCAGAGCAATGAAATATTTCACTGGTCCTCAGGTAGAAAAGATGAAACACTCAGTTGGTGTTAGGGGTGGGGACTGGTGGAAGACGCTGTAGTGAATCCTAGCAAATGCCATAAACACTGAGAAGTACAGCAGCTGGTTGGTTGTAAGTAGATGGGATGTGGGAATTGAAGATGGTCCCACCATGTGTATTTGGCATCCCTTCATTTTTGCCAGATTTGAACTTGCTTCCTCTGGGTTTATGTACTGGTACATATCTATCTTTAGATATCTCTGACATCCATCCTCCTGACGTTAATTACCGTTCTGTAAACAGAGGCACTGCTTTTCGTCTAGCAGTGCGTCCACACACCTGCAGCTCTGCTCATTCTCCAGAAAGGTCTTCCCCGTCTCATATGCCATGTATTGTCCTTATTGGCTTATTGTCTCCTCCTCCTACAATGAGAGCCTCATAAAGGCAAGTGGGTATCTCCTTAGTGCTAGAATAATACCCGGCACATAGTGAGCATTTTTAATTCTCTGAATAAATGAATTCATGTCAGCAAACCTTTCTTAAAGTTCTTCAGAGGCTCTGTGAAGCTCAGAGGCACAGTCATTCTCTTGGTGCCATGGAATGCTTCTGTTGTTTAAAAATCTTCACAAGGGGCACCTGGGTGGCTCAGTCGGTGAAGCGTCTGCCTTCCAGCTCAGGTCATGATCCTGAGGTCCTGGGATCGAGACCCACATCGGGCTCCCGGTTCAGCAGGGAGCCTGCTTCTCCCTCTCCATCTCCTTGCTGCTCCCCCTTGTGAGCACACACTCTCTCTGTCAAATAAATAAAACATTAAAAAAAAACCTTCACTAGGTGCAGTTACGGTAGGGGAGTTAATTGGACCTTTATGTGTCGGTATATGTGAAGTCATTAGGTATTGCTGGAATTGGCCATGTTTTCTCCATTCTGGTCACCTTCTCTCATGAAAGCTTGTCACACAGAAACAAGAGGGGTAGCAGAAAAGTCTCTGGGTAAGTTCCCACTGGATCATTTCATGGCTGCTAACCCATTCCCAGACAGACGGGATAGGTTTTGTGTTCCCCTCCATTCTTCTTCACTGACCCTCACCCTTGAGTCTTGGTAGAGGAAATTGCACTCCTGCCTTTGAGAGGAGAGGAAGCAGACAGGAATCCTCAGTCTTCCACTTGCATGGAATAAGTAGTTTTGTCCAATCTGCAGGAATCATGCGCTAGCACGTGTGTATAATCATTTTCCTCTTGCATCACCTAGAATTCTCAGAAAATGCCAACCCATTGTTCCTGCCTTGCTGCACCTCTGGGTAGGTGTTTCAGACCAGAAAGGCTTTTGAGTGTTCTCTCCCTCATTTCCCAGCTACCTGTTTAATCACCGGGGTAAATGCAGTAGTCCTCCCCACCCGCCCCCCCTTTTCCATGAGGCATATGTTCTGTCACCCCCAGTGGATGCCTGGAACTGCAGGTCTTATCAAACCCTATGTATACTGTTTTCTCCTATATGTACATACCTGCGAGAAAGTTGAATTTATAAATCAGGCACAGTAAGAGATTCACAATAATAACTAATAATAAAATAGAAGAATTATAACCATGTATTGTAATAAAAATTACGTGGTCCCTCTCTCAAAATATCTTATTGTACTGTCCTCACTGTTCTTGTGATGGTGCGAGAGGATAAAATGCCCGTGGGACGGGCTGCAGTGAGGGGAGTGACGTAGGCGTTGTGACGTAGCATTCGGCTACGATTGTCCTTCTGACGGTACATCAGGAGGAGGAGGGGGATCACCTGCATCTGGACCGCAGCTGCAGGTACCTGAAACCCCGGATGAGGGGGACTACTGTACTCACAACCCAAGGGCGTTTCTTGAAACGTGAGTATTTCCTAATTTGTACTCGCTGGTGGTGTAAGTACATGAAAAGATAATTGCTTCAGATTCTCCACTGACTGAGAAATCCGTGGTGGTCAGTTGTCCCTTGCTGGACATAGTAAACGCAGCCTTGAGCTGTAACGCAGCTGTGGAAATGAAGTAGTTGGAATGGGGTAGTGCAGTGTGACAGTAAAGGATGAGAGCAACCAAGAGTGAGGCCACTCCTTCTCTGTTTTCCCAGATGGCACAGCCTTCATGGGGGGGAGCGGGGGATGCCAAGACCAATCAACTCATTTCACCCTTAACTGGGAAGAAGTTACTCTCCATGACCTTTCTTTACAGATTTTTTTCAATTTCATCCCATTCTCTCCCTTTTTCTGAAACAAAACCCCCCACTGACCTGTTTAATAGTCCCATTTGTAAAATACTTTGCAATTTATGATGCACTTCAACGATCCATTATTCTCTTTATTCTTACGGTTTCTTCTGGTTATTAGCATCCAACTATGTCATGCGTAAGAAATTCAATATAGGAATTTTTAATAAATTCAGGAGTTATTTTCACTCTGGTAAAGCTTTCAACCCAACTTTTCCTTAGTGGAGACCTCCTTGGGATCCTTCTGAATGATTTACCTGAGGAATTATCTCGTTCTTATTTCCAAAAATAGTAGGATATTTACAGAATTCATATGGAGTACTTGTTCTACCCGCTAGATCTGAGTTACATATTTTTTTAAGATTTTTATTTATTTATCTTTCTGTGAGAGAGTGCACGTGCGTAGCACACAGGCAGGGGTGGGAAGGGAGGAGCAGAGGGAGAAGCAGGCTTCCCACTGAGCTGGGGAGCCCAATGCGGGACTCCATCCTAGGACCCCGGGATCATGACCTGAGCTGAAGGCAGACACTTAAGTGACTAAGCCACCCAGGCACCCAAACTCAGTTATAGTTTATTCTTGTTCAAAACCTAATAACAGGGCTACTGGGCCTCCAGTTTATCAACCTTTATCACCTGAACTCCTTATTTCCTATAACTGATTGTTTAAAAAAGATATTTTCAGACAACCACTCTAGTAAACTGAACCATTATACTGGTTTAAAAATGTTATGGATGCAACAGGGTAAGATAGAAAATTCAGGCACCAAACTGTTATAAAATAGAGCTTCTAGGTCATCACTAGAATGTGCAATAAGCTCTGTTCCTAGGACTTCCTTTACATTTAACCTTGTTTTTAGAAAACATCATCATGCAAATATATTGAGCGTTTACTGATGACATGGTTTATTTTCACTACAGTCAGCCCTGTGGAGACAGGTGCAGTGGAGAGCCTCATCTTACAGCTGCGGAAACTGAGGCTCAGAGACCCTATTAATTTGCCCAAGCTGATGGGAAGGGTGGAGCTACCGCTGGAATTGTGGCTTCAAAGCACAGATGCGTTAAAATGGCTCTGCCACCCCTTGGCATGCTCTTCTGACAGTTCTGGTATCTCAGGACTTCAAGCTCCTCATCTGGGTATTAATTCATTAAATCAAGGCATTTCAAATACATGTGAATATCCCCTGTAGTTCCCCCCACCCCAAGTTCTTGATGATGATCTTCCACCAATACTGACCTTTTGCCTCTCCGCTGAATTCTCCTACAGCCCCTCTGAATAGTTTCGTTATTCTTTTGTTGAAGTTCCTTCCTTATCAAAAACTCACCTCTACTTCTGTTCCCTGGTCCCTTTTCTTCTCTTACTTCCTAAGAAAAGGACTCTCCACCCACCTATACTTCTATTCCCTGTGCAAAAATAGGCCTATGTGATTTAAATGACTTAGGGAGAAATTTATAAATACGTTGAAACTTTTGGATGATTCTGCTGCAGTTGAATTTCATAAACAGCTCTGGTCTTTAAATCCTAAACAGCATAAGTGGAATCAGTAAGTTACATTAGATTTTTAAAAAGTATTATAAAATAGGCAAATGGTTAAGGAGAGCTTTGCTAATTGATCACTCATCCCTTGGAGATAGCCATTTATAGGAATTTTTGAGGAATTCTGAGTTAGTAATTTTACTTAACTGAATTAAAATTCAGGAGTTTAGAATCTTCAGTATGTTCTCCTGATTTAACATAGCAAAGAGTCTTGTCAGAATGAAGACAGTTTTTTTTCCCTGATCTCACCTACACTTACGTAAAATGTGGAAATGCTAGATAATGTGAATGTGATGGCTGAGGTTGGTTAGCCACATTAGAAAGAACTCTTCTTCGGATGCAAGAGTATTTATCCAAAGTGAAAGAAATTAAAGAAGTGCTTTTGAAGTTAGGTTCCAATCACTATAGAAGTGATATTAATTCTTTAATCAGGAAAATTTGGAATTAGAGTGCCTGTTCCATATAAGGGAACAGTGGTTAGATGGTTGGTTGGTTTTCCAGGCAAGTTGAACTCTGACTTGTGCAGGAGAATGAAAGGGGCCTGACTCTTAATATTTTTCACTAAAGGTTTTTCAGAATCGAATGTTCCGTGGCCATGGGTTCTCCATTGTTACCCTGGGAGGGTAAAGCACAATTGAATGCATGCAGTAACTTAGCGATCAGTCCCCTCGTAATGCTTTCTAAGTAATACTTCTGTGACATTTTTAAGATACTGAAGTGGTCACACAGTTCCTTTAAGATCCATGTTAATCTTAACATCTGCAAGTACTTTTAAAAATCTAGACTTTCCAATCAGGAGATACTCATTTTAAAGGACAGGCTTCAATAATATTTTCATTGCAGTTACTGAAGCATTACGTACATACGTCATCTACAGACTATTTTCACTGCATTATAGTATTCTTTCAGACTTTTATTACAGCTTTTTAAAATCAAAACTTAGCTCCTAAAATTAACCTGATTATTGAATGTGTTGTATGGGCTTTTCCAAATGTGCATATTGTCAGGCACAAATGTCCTTAGAAATGCTTTTCTGTGGAAATTAGAGGCTCTAACTTGCTAATAAGAGCGTTACAAAATGAAATGTTGCTGTTAACCAGTAGCTTGGAAATCCAGAAATGATTCATGCCTTTCCAGCAGTTAAAATACATCTTAATAATTTGAAGGTCACTGGCTTCAGCAGGGTGCCAGCCTATAAAGGGGTTTTAAACATGCAGTTTAAAACCCTTGGGATTAAACCAACCTTGTTGGCATATTTTATTTATACAGAGATTATCTCCAAAGGAGATTCATTGGTCTTTTGACTATAATGAAGCCTTTTCTTTATTGACTTCATTGTGTCATAAATGAAAAGAGATTTCTTTTTATGGCAGGAAATAAAATGTTCCAATCTCCACAACACTCCTTGCATCCAAAGAGTCTGATTTAGACAAAAATCTATTTGTTGTGCCCTAACGCGGAAACTAAAATCCCAATAATGTTCTTTTATTTCATGTTTGCTTTATCTTCCTAAGTGGACACAGAGGTATTACCAAGTGCAGAGAGAGGTCTGAAATTGGCCTCTGGGCGCTGAACAGGCAGGCAAGAAGGGACTGAGTTCCTGAAATCCAGGTCTGTCCACTAGAGAGAGGGCTGGTAAACAGCCCAGTTGTGGGACTTGGGGGAGCAGGGGGTGTAAGGTCTGAGCAGGAGGGACTTGACCCAGGGACTGTGTTGGGGCTTTATAGGTTCCCCCTGCAGAGAGACAGAATTGGTTGGGATTTGGCACAGGGTTGCGGGAACTGCTGTGGGTTAAAGGAACTTCACAGAGATGGGTGGCACAGTGGGTGACTTAAGGCCCTCTGGAATGGGAACGGTAATTATATATGTACCCGCACCCTGCTGGTACGGGTATTTTCTTAAGTGGACGTTAAGCCAGTCAACCCCAGCACTAAGCGTCTTGGCAGGAAGGTAAACACTACAACACTTCATTTTACTTGGCATAATCAACGTGATCAGAATACCAGTGTGAATTTTCCAGGTTGACTGAAGCTTACTGTTAAAGCTTAAGTGTATCATTTCATTCCTTTTAAGTCAGAAAGTTTCTTTAAAAAGCATTATTGGGAGGCGCCTGGGTGGCTCAGTCGGCTAAGCATCTGCCTTCAGCTCAGGTCATGAGCTCAGCGTCCTGGGATCAAGTCCCGCATCAGGCTCTCTGCCCA